CTCAGACTTCATGTCTCTGCTTTGCTCCAATACCACGTGCCCTTTCCTGCTTCCCCAAGGATAGGGTGGGCAACAGGAGTCAGGGATGTTTGGAAAGGGATGCATATGCCCAGGCTGGCCTTGCCAGCAGCCCCCTTCTCTGGCAACCACAGCCCTCCCAGCCTCCTCTCTCCTTTCCATCCCCAGTTGCTCTCCACCCCTGGAAAACACCCCAATAGGAGCCAGCTCTCATCACCCCAGTGCACAGAGCCCACAGCCCAGCTGGAGGGAGCCTGCTCCATCCCTATCGCATGCCATGGCAGGGCTTTCAGCAGAAGCCCAAGCAGCCAAGATACCTGGAGCAGCACAAAAACCCACTGGACAACGCAAACATGAAAGCAGCCAGGCCTCTGTGTCACACACATGGCTGTAATTACAGCCTGACAGCCACGTATCTTCTTCATCTCGAGGAATTAAGCTCAGTGCCGCATTGTGAGCACTAAGAAGGGCGCGTGGGCTTAGCGTTGCTCACGCCAGCGCTATCTCTGCTGCCGTGAGGGCCATTGTCCCCAGATGAGATCAGGTCAATCCAGCAGCCCCTATCTCCCTCCTGCAGTGGGGATCATGGCTAACTGCAGCCATGGTGCGACAGGGCATCGCTGATGCCATCCGTGGGCTGGAGACACCAGGGGAGATGCTCTCTGAAGCCAGAACGGGGCCCAAGTGGGCCAGTGGAGCTGAGTGGCATCCCCCCACCAGCCCACCACCCACCTGCCTGCCATGGGGACCTGCTGCCAGTTCCTCTACCCCTGCTACCTGCTGCTGTGCCCAGCACCAGCAGCCCCTTGGGAGCTATGGGGCTTGGGGTAGTTAATTTATTACTGGCCTACACAACCATTCATGCTGCTTTGTTACTCCTGCCTTAGCAAAACAGAGGGCTCCACAGATAATTAATAGACAGCATTGCTAATCCTGTTGGGAGATGATTAGCAATTAAAAGTCCTAATTAAGTCTGTGCATAATTCACTGAAATTACACTTTGTGTACACAATAGGGAGGTTTCCTTTCCCTTCAACAAACATGCTGTGGTATCTCCATCAGCGTGGCCAGGATGTCAGCTGGCTGGCTGTGGGGCAGGAGAGAGCTGGGGGCTGAGGTTCAGGATGGGACCCTGCCACTCATCTGCCGGGTGGCCCTGGCTCATGGGGACAGCAGCTCCGCGTGTGGCTCCCTCTTCTGGCAAGCCCAGGCGCAGTGCAGGAAGGTCCCCGTGCTCAGTACCAGGTCTGCCAGGCCCAGGGTCACGGGCAGTGGGGGGCATCCCTGGGGAAAGGGTGCCCCTGCAAGCTTTGGAGGGAGGATGCATGGGACCACAGGCTATTCCTGCACTGAGGCAGGCTCTGAGCTGTACTGCAGGCTGCCTTCCCAGCCCAGACACATCCCTTGGATCCCAGCCAGAAGCAACTGACGGAGCACAGCAGAATTGGCAAGATCCTGGGAAAGCCACAGGGACAGCTCTGGAAAACTCCTGGCAACTGGGCACTAGTGCCAACCCCAGCTTGCCTCTTCCAGCTCTGCAGCAGCAGCAGGGACCCAGCAGCATGTTCCCTGGTCTGGGATCAGCACCAGGCCCATCTCTGCATCGCATTTTGCTTCTCTAACCAAGGTCATTGGGTACAGCAGCAATACCTGAGCAAACTAGCTAAGCAGCTGGGGTGGAAGTTGGCCTGACCACTGAAGGTCAAGTGTGCACTTATGCATATTCAAAGCTGCCTGCAGGATCGATCGGGTTTTAATTGTTTTTCCTGGGGTTTTGGAAGGAAGTGCCAGGGGCATTGATCAGTCCCAGATGAGGCTGCTCACACTTCGGGGCTGGCAGGGACGGCCACTTTGCTGCAGGCAGAGGGAAATGCAGGCAGAGATGGAGGCAGGCCAGAGGACAGGCCAGCCAGCTCAGGCTGGGAGGAGGAGCCATTGCTGGGCTGTGTTGGAAAATAAAAGTTTTTAATTAAAATTGGCAATTCTGAGTCGCCTGCTGGCAGCAGCCACACAATCAAAAGCAAAGAGCTTTGCTGTTTAATATTTAAAGACAACATTTAATCTTTAAACAGGCAAGTTCTTCTTCTGACTGTTAAAAGCAAGGCAGAAAGTGCTGGAGGCTCCAGGACAGAGGGTTCCCCAGCCTGCTGGGGTGGCTGTAGCCACTGGCCTGCCATGGGGTCCCGCCTTGTGGGGGGGTCTTTAGCCCCTGGCCTGCCATGGGGTCACTAAAACCACCAGGGCACCAGTGTCAACCACAGCCACCCTCCTACCAGCTCCATCACTTCTCCAGCCCTGCACAGCTGCTGGCAGTGGTGCAGACCCTTGCTCCTTCAGCATTTGTCCCTACAGCAAACCATGAGAAAGTCTGAGATGCCTCTGGTTGACTCAGAAGTCAGAGGATTTAAAAAAATGCCATGAAATCCTTTTTGCCAGGAAATGACACAAATTTGTTCTTCCCTCTGGTTCAGTCCTGGTGTTGCAGGGACTGTTGCTCCTTTCTAGCTCAGACACTGAAGCATGGCCAGGACCTCACAGCATTTTCTTTTCACAGAATCTTAGGGGTTGGAAGGGACCTCAAAAGATCATCTAGTCCAACCCCCCTGCCAGAGCAGGATCACCTGGAGCACATCACACAGGAACGTGTCCAGGTGGGTTTGGAATGTCTCCAGCGAAGGAGACTCCACAACCTCTCTGGGCAGCCTGTTCCAGGGCTCTGTCACTCTCACAGGGAAGAAGCTTTTTCTGATGTTTACATGGAACCTCCGATGTTCCGGTTTGCACCCATTGCCCCTTGTCCTATCACTAGACATCACTGAAAAAAGCCTGGCTCCATCCTCCTGACACTTGCCCTTAACATATTTGTAAACATTGATGAGGTCATCCCTCAGTCTCCTCTTCTCCAAGCTAAAGAGACCCAGCTTCCTCAGCCTTTCCTCATAAGGGAGACTCTTTCTAATACACCCCAGGATGCCATTGGCCTTCTTGGCCACAAGGGCACATTGCTGGCTCATGGTCATCCTCCTGTCCACCTGGACACCCAGGTCCCTTTCTCCTACACTGCTCTCCAGCAGGTCAGCCCCCAGCCTGTACTGGCATATGGGGTTGTTCTTCCCCAGACGCAAGACTCTACACTTGCCCTTGTTGAAATTTATCAAGTTTCTCCCCGAGACCTGTCCAGGTCTCATTTACATCTGCATTTCAATTGATAGCAACTGCTGGCATCTTTTAAGAAAGCTATTACTAAACTGTTTTGGTCAAAATTCTGATTTAGAGATAAATTCAATGCCTGTGATCTGCTAAAAAGCATCTAAATTATGTTTGCAAAATAATTTTCAAGCAGCTTGAACATAATTATTTCCATTCATACCAGCTCCTAGAAGAGTCTCCCTTTCTTCATGATTTTGTTTGTAATTCTATGAAGGCTACATTTACCTCCCTGCCAATGCTGATCTGAAGCCAGATGATTATTAATTATATTTATTTACTTATACAATCCCATAGGCATACGCAGCAGTTCACAGACAAATACCACTCTGGGTCCCTGATGTGGGGACCTCGAATCAAAGGTAAGCAGATACTCCTGTGATAAATGTGAGTTACCAGCAGCAGGAGATTAGGAACATACTGTGTTTCCATGCATAGAGCCAGCACCACAGATAGAAAAAAGGGTTTGAAACCATCCTCCTGTTGCACTGGGTCACAAAACTTCCTGGTGGCCATGATGCATCTGACTCCATTTACAAAGAGCCTGAAACAAGAGCTCCATGGAGCACTTCTAGTAGCACTGGGGGCCAAAAACGGTCCTCTGTGCTGGGACAGGAGTGCATGGAGGGCACACCAGCAATGAGGGGCAGTGTCATGACATTGCTTGCAGGGGAAAGAACACAGGATTTGCCTAGTTCTTGTAAAAATGCCGCCCAGTTTAACACTGAGTTTGCCACAGGGACAGAAAGGCAGCAGCACCAACACAACTAGGTCCTGATGTCTCAACCTCTGGAACTCACTTGGGTTATACATCAGGGCTTATAAGCAGCACAGCTGCAGAGAATACATTCCAGGGGGTCAGAAAATTCCCAGAACTGGAACTTGTCAAGCTGATGTATTGATCTAAGTGGACTGAATAATGCTCCATCATTTATTTATGGGGAAGTGCCTGGCACACTTCACAAAAACTGGTGTTCGACAGTCACATTAAGGCAAGATTTAACGTCCTGCATCATGCAAACAGGGCACCTGTCAGAGGTCAGGATGCTCACTTACATAAGGAGCCCCACAAATCCTTCTTGTATGCTCCTGGGAGGGATCAGGCTGGTCCTCATGGAGCTGCTGGAGCTCTGCTAGGGCAATAAGCCCATGCTGACAGTGCCAGTCCCATCCCTTCTACATGTGCTGATGCTGTGACCTGCCCGGACAGCCCCCAGCCCCTCTGCCACAACTGC